GGGGAATGACTAAAGAATGCAATGGGAGGAGAGCACAGGAAAGTCTGGCACACACATACATACAAACACACAACCCTTTAACAAAAACCCTTTGAGTGCTCTATGAAACTCAACCTGCTCCCCAACTCCGACTTATAAAAAGTTAACAAAGTAAGTAAAGGCTGACCCCTGTGCTGTTTTATAGGGGTAACCGAAGTGTTGCTGACTGTGCTGCTCCATGGGTCCTTGTTTGAATCCATTTTCTAAATTTAAATTTTCGGAATGATTCTTTTGTATATAGACATGTTTAGACGGAATTAAATTAATATCAATCTATGTTTTTACTTATCATATAAAATCTGTTACTGGACAAAAAGTTAATCTTGTGCAGAGTGTGACACACCAAATCTTTCTAAACTAGTGTCTCTAAAAACTTACCAAGTTGCTGTTTCTAAATACATAGGAGATGTGGCAATGGCAGACCGTACAAGTTGAAGTCTCTATGTATTGTAAGCCTGTGACAAAATGTTCTGCACTTTTTTCTTAGTGTGTACTGGGATAAGCTAGGTACTGGGATTTGTTCTATGATTTAATCTCAAGGCCCTTATTTCTAGTGTGCATAGTCTGAAACTTCATTCATCTATATGATATATTTAAATGTTCATTTAATTACTGTGTGCAAGTGGTTGGTAAAATGGACAACTACCAAGCTAGCTGCTAACTGCCCTGTTTGTGTGTGTGAGGTGTTGTTGAAATTAAAATAACTACACTCACAACACTCATGACACTTGCTAATGATAAGTTAAAAAAAACTGTAACAGTGTGATAAACACAGAAGGGAGGCAAACAATAGACAAGCTGTAAACTTGAATAATTAGTTGTTTCTCCTTAGCGAGCACAGCGTTGTTCTCTGTGACAGCTCAGAAATGGTGTCAGATTTGACACCGTAATTAGCTTTTCGAGGCTATTGTACAATGTGGATATAGTTGATGTTTTAATTCATTAGCCAGCACACATTGTGCAGTGCAAATTATTTCAGAACAATGACAGACTATAACTTAATTCATCGTTTTTTACCGTCAGTTGTTGACACGCTCTTCGCCCTGAAACGTTAAAGCGCTGCAACTGAGGTATGATAGAAATTTCAGCTCTTTAATCTAGGATTAATTTCATAAACCATTTCTCCATTAAACCACCAGCAAGCTTTGCATTCCTCCTTTGCTGAATATAATTAGTTTCCCAGATATAGCTGACTTATGAGTATTTTCAACCGGAGAGAGGAACACATGCATATAGATTGTGCTCGAACAGCAGCAAAGTAAAACGCATTAAATTCAATAACATACTGGACTATTAACCAGATATATTGATTAACTACAGAGGGAAATGCAGTTAGTTTTGGGCACAGGGGGAGGTGAGAGCTTTTCAGAATTTAAGAGCTTTAAAAGCTCAGTTTGATCTGATCAGAAAGTGACTGCTTTTTGTTGTTAGAAAGGCTTCAAGCATGAATTAAGGGCATTACAGTATGGAGAAGGCAAGAAACACAAGCAGCCAGATGATCACACAGGTTTCACACAAATTCCTTATCTAAACTAAACTACTTGCATTTGAAAACAAAGGTCAGTAATCCAAAATTCTTGTCCTTTGCATTTAAACACTGTGATGCGCTCATGTGGTCAGTGATGAACGGGGAATAGATCATTGTAATGTTCACATTTTTTCATTACCAAAATAACTGAGGAGTTGTTAAAACCTGTCTGGCTACTCCATGCCACTATATCCCAAATGCCCAACAATAAAACTGGTTATGAAACGTGTTTTAATAAATTACTATGAAAATATCCCCAGTTCAACAGTTAGCGTCAGCTCCCCGTCCGTGAGCCGGCTGTCTGCCCACTCAACAGCCGCAGTGCTAATTTGAAAAATTCAGGATGCCTTCTCCCTATCTCTGACTTCAGAGGAGATGACTTGGCATAGCATACTCAATAATTCAACACTACAGGCATGTGAATGTATATGGTTGTCTCATCTGAGACTGGGGTAAGTTGAGGGTTAGCTAGCGTCGGCTTTGCTGCAGCATCCCAAACTACAAAGGCATTTCCTGGGGGCTGCAGTGAACAGAGGAAACAGGAGGGGCATGTTGAGCTCTGCTACTTGGAGACAGCTCATTCGTTTGTTGTTTAAGTTCTACCGCCCGCACATACTCACCGGCATTGCACTTCTTTTCCCCTCTAGTTATTAACACTTAAACATTAAATATGCATGCCCACCCCTTCATGTTTATGTTTTTGTCTTGGAGGCATGGCAGCGCGCAGCAGGCGATCTCTCCTCCTGGTTTCCGCTGCAATGGGAGGGAAGCGACCATATTTTCTGAATCCCCAACCACTGCTTTTTGCAGGAACGTCCCCTATTTGCTGTGTTTTTCAAATCGCCCTCTTACCAAGCATCCGTCTTAACTAACGTGGGGGCTGTAGCAATAGCTGCTTCGTATTAAGAGGCAGGGGCACAAGCACACACATATGCGCACACACGCACGGACGCAGTGGGAGGCTGGGAACGCACTCTTAATCTGGGCACAGTGTGAAAGTCACGTAAGAGAGGATTCCTGTGCTTCCCTGTGAACCTGCCAACCCCAGACTCCCCCCTGTTTTCCTCTTAATAAAGCATTTCCTCACACACATGCAAAGTAGGACGCACCAACACACTCACAGATGCATGAAGCTCATAACGCGCACAAGGTAGACCGCCATGAATTCAAGAGCACATGACACATGCAATCATGTATGTGCTGTTACCCTTCACTCCTCTTTTTCATCCGTCCCTCCCTCTCCCTCTTCTTGTGGCTCTCATCTCCTCTGAACACTGCAGGGCGGCTGACAGGCCCGCTGAGGGCTCTTGTCGCCGGGTGGATTAAGCGGTGATACAAAAAGAGGCTTAAGGGCCGCAGGAAGCAATGACTCCTAAAAGAAGGTGGGGGCAGGAACAATTGACTGGCCCACGAGCCGCCAGCAACAGCCAATCAGGAGGTACTGCGAGAGGGCACCTGAGCCTCATGATGTGAGGAGGGAGTGGGTCAATCCCCTGGTGACACTGGGGTCAGGGTCAGGGCACTGTTGGATCAAAGAGGACATGATACACGCACACAATGACCCACACAAAAACCACAGACTTACTCCTCCAGCATCAACAGCTTAGTTAACGTCAAACTATAAGCCTTGTTCACTCCACTTTGTTGTTTGTCCAGGCCTCACAATTCTCCTGGGAGACAGCAGGTATTCTCAGATGAGTTTGTAGGTGTCTGCTAAAGGTACCAAACCTTCTATTTCTAGACTGGAAATCGTGTCTGAAAAGCAGGACATTTAAAATAAAATAAAAAAAAAAGGTGGCAATTTTCCCCCTTCTCCATCACTAAAAATATTTTATGCGACAACAGGTTGCTAAGCAGATGTGAGGTTGTGATGAATTTAGGACAAAGGTTAGATGAGGTGACCTTCCATGAATTGAAACACTTCCTCTATCATCTGCAAGTTTTAGTGTAATTGGCACCGTTACTGCATTCGTACTTCACTCAAACAGATACATGACGAACTGTACACACTTCCTCTTTGTAAAAGCCTAAATCTTTTCTACTCGGTTGTGGTGAATAGGAGATATAAGCAGAGGCTGGTGATCTGGGAAGGACAAATTGTGGGCTTAGGTCCACCGGCCATCTGTCGGCTAGCAAAGCTAATCCCTCGGCATGGGATGGGGCTCCCTGGCAGCTACCCCACCTCCCTCTCTCCCTAGCTGGCCCCACCCACCCTCCTACCCACCAAACCATAGCTCTTGTCCCACTGCGTCACATCAATACTGACATTGACCTGTATTACATTTGTCCTGAGCCCTGCTTGCTGAGTACTCACTCAGTTGTGGCTGATTTGCATTAACCTCTTTTTATCTTTTTGACACACAAGGGATGTTTAAGCAATAAGGCCACAGAGGTTAACATTGATTTTATTGGGGTTGCATGGCATTAAGGTGAATATAAGTTGTGATGCATGGCTTTTAAACTGGTTTGTCATTGTTGACTGGGCAGCAGCTGGGTTCCAAAGCAGTTTTTACATTAATGTTAGTTGTCCAGAAAAAAATCCAGATAGTTTAGCATTCTTAATAACTAACTGGAGATTGCTCCCTCTAGACCTTTCTCGTCATATAGTTTATTACCCAATACTCTGGGCTTTTTTGTGGCCTTTAGAACTACTCTAAAAGTTCGTAGGGAGAGAATCTGAAATATTACTGAGTTAGTGCATGGCACGTGTGTTGCATCTATCAGGGAGAGATGCTTTGCTCTGTTTCTATGTCTTGCTTTTGTGTAGTCTCCCCAACGGTCTCCCATTTCAGCTCAGTGACCACAGATGAGCTCATTATAATTTGTCCTCTACCTCATACGCATGGACTACATTTTTTAAATGTATTCTTTGATTTTCTTTGATCTAGTTAGATTAGAAAGGGAAATGCAGGAAAAGAGGAATTCCTTTTTTTGCTCTTACACAACACTCTCAGCTAATGTTCTCTTTCTGTATCTCTAATAATACACGCTTGGCCTGGATCTAGAATTGCTTATTTCTAGCTGTGTTAACTAGGCCACAGATATATGGCACCCAGTAACCTTGTGCCTTTTGCCCCAAAAGCCCTTGGGCCTGAAACCTCTCCAAAATCACTGTGTTGTGTTCTGTGTGGCCATCATCAAGGAGGTGGGCAACCTCATGAGATGGTGACAGACTATTAGTCTTTGTCTAGATTAAGAATAAGCCCTTTAAGGTTTGTCTGTTTGCCTTTGAATTACCGCTGCATATGTCCTCTCTTTCATTACATTTTTTTGCCAGTAATGTTTTGTTGGGAACTGGATGAAAAGGGACATTGTAAACTACGCAATATGTGTTTGAGTTTACAGAAGGCAACCAAAGCACATCACAATAGCAGCTATGTTGACAGATGGCCATATATTAACCCGAACACAGGACAACTAACTCTATATTTGCTTTATTTGCAAAGATAGTTCCATTTCCCACACGCTTATTCTGCCGCCCATCCCTACGCCACCACCTGACCTCTCTCCTCATCTCTCATCTTTCTGTCACACAGGGCTTCTTTCGGAGAAGCATCCAGAAGAACATGGTGTATACTTGTCACCGGGAGAAGAACTGCATCATCAACAAAGTCACCCGCAACCGCTGCCAGTATTGTCGGCTGCAGAAGTGCCTGGAAGTCGGGATGTCCAAGGAGTGTGAGTATAACAACTGTCTTTCCCAGAATGCCCTGCTCCCACAGGGCTCTTAGGGTCATGCACAGATCTCATCATGGTTGTTTAATCCCAGAGGGGTTAGTATGATTGTTACCACTGCAGGAAGCCTTTAGCCGCAGTATTTGTTGACATTTGTTCCACTACCAACATTGTATATCAGCTGTGGCAGTCATTTATTATTATTAATTTATGACTGCACTGGGTGGAGATCCTATTGGTTTCTGTCATCCTTGCATGGAAATTCAAAGCTGTTATGGTTAAACATAAATGTATCCTACATGGATGCTTTTAGTAGATTTTTTAGTCTGGAGGTTTTAGTTTGCAGAAATACCCAGTGTAAAAGCGAGACAAAGGGCAGCCGTGGTGCAGACTGGCAATAACAGTCAGGGTGTCGCCAGGCTTGGCAGGCCTCTGTGATGAATATGTTCTCACCTGCCGAGAGTGAAAGAGCAGGCGTCTGCTCCCATCATTGCACCCCGGGGGCTGTGTGAACACACACACTCACACACACATACACGCAGGCAGTCAGACTTGATAAAGTAATTGGAAGAGGTGTGACCGCAGAGAACTCATAGGCCAGCAGGGTTTTTTACCTCAGCCCGATCACATGATCACTGTTGCACGCAAACACACACACTCACTCGCTTGCTATCATTTTACACATTACCAGAATGTGTGACACATTTTTACTCATGAATACTGATAAATACGCTGTAATAGAAACGGGCCCATGCAGAGCTAAAATGCAGCGCTTCACTTCCTCTCACAGGCACACACCTGTTTAAACCTGCATGCAGACAACCTCCATAGCTCCATCCCTCTCTGCCTCCTGTCTTCCCAGCGCTATTTACCTCATCTTTCTGGTACAGTGAGTGCAGGGAGCGCTCCCCATGCCACAGCACTGTGGCTTACAGTAAAAGAAGTTATCCTCTGAGCTCCTTACCTTTGAATGGGGCCATTAATCATGGTTAGAAGGATCACAGCAGCCAGCCTCTTTTACACACACAGAGGCACACAACGGGGGGATAGACTGGAGTTGGAGAGTCATCTAGTGGTGAATGATTAGTACTGCACAAGTGAAGACGGCTCAAATTGAATTTCTGAATGGAATGGAGGCTGGAAATATTATTATTGGATAGATTGCGACCCACCTTTGCCCAGATTCTTTTTGTTTTGTTTTGAGTACTGCCCAGTTTTGATTGTGGTAATTTTGTGCAGAGTGTGCAGATTGCTCGTCTTGTGTCCTCAGCAGTGACTTTGGCCAGTCAGACTGGTCTGGGCTGGTGAGGAAAGAGAGGCTGGCCATCTGGGCCCAGCAGGGAGTCGCTCTGCCTCTCACACACACGGGCACGAGAACACACGCACACGTCAAGATGCATGCTTGGGCATAATTTCATGCACACGTTCAAATTATGCACATGCAAGGTGACAAACTTGTGCCGATATGAATAAAAACGCTTTAATACAAATACACTCAGACAGCTCCACTTAAACACCATACACTCTCTGTCACACACACACACAGAAGGTGGACCCCCTGCTAGGACCGGGGGGACGTGTGGGTGACCTTGTGTTTGCCGGCAGACAGCTCCAGACGACAGTACCAGGCCTGCTGCCAGGTGGCAATGCCAAGCAAGAAGGCATCAGAAGGAGGGGGGGGTGTTTGGAGCAAGTGGAGGGTTACAAGGGAAACGCCTGTAAGCCTGGTGCCACGTTAATATCCACTGACAGGGTGCGCTTGAAGAAGACTAAGACTTATGGAATAAATCCTGAAAGTTTCTAAAAGTAAAGTTAATCATATGTAGATGGCTAAAACATGAAACATTTTATGTTTTATATTTGCTAATTTATGCACACGTTGCCCATAGCCTAGTACAGTGGTTCCATAAATGATGCTCGTGACCCCTCCAAGTTCTGCTATAAAAATGTGGTTTTGCTCTTAGTTTTTTAATATTTTTTTTTATTTTAAAATGCGTTGAAATTAAACAATCTGAGAGGGTAAACATCTCACTCTTTGCTTGCAATGCACACAAATTGACTTTGCCCTGTTTTAAAGGGTCACAATCCATATAGATTGTGAAATACTGGATTTTCAAGTAGCATATTTATATAAGAAGCACATTTCAGCCAAAGTTACTTCATTGCCACTGCTGACACTCATCAGGGATAATCATATGGTTTCGTTACACAATCCTTGAAACTAAATTTATGTTGTTGAGTTCAGACCAGCCACCTACCCCAGTACCTCCCTCCCTTTATCATCCCCACCCCCCTTTTTTTTGTCTTCTCACAAAGCTATCGCTCACTTGTTCCTCGAGGAAGGTGTTATTCAGCGATAGAAAAAGTAATAAAAGTAAAATAAGATGAAGCGAAGAATGATGGAGAACAGCGCGAGGGGAGGATAACATCATAGTAGTAGAGAAAGATGAAGGCTGTGAGAGGAAAGAGTATTGGACCCAGTGTGAGTGAGAATGAAAATCTAGAGTTGGGAGAGCAGAAGGGGGGAGGAGGGATGAGAGAGGCTGCAGGACAGAGAGAGAGGGAGAAAGTTTCATCACTGTCGACGGTGGCTCTGCGCTGCAAGCAGCAGGAGCAGGGGGAACATTGACATTTTTATCTTTCCATTGAATTTAATCTGTGTGATGGACGAGCTGCCAGTGCTTTAATTTTCCTCACACGAATTATCCCTGTCTGCCCACCTCTCTCTGTCTTGTACACAGACACACACACACACAAATACACACCGAGGCACTAACAGAAATTGTCTATTAACTGCACACTGCAGCTGAAATCCACTATGAGAACAAGTGATTGAGTGATGGCTGTGTGTGTGTGCTGTCACAGTATTTCGTACATGTTACACGCCAGCTCGTGTAAATCATTTTTATGCAATGAACACGTAACCGCAAACAATCCAGGATGCAAGTTCCCCCATTAGCATTCATATTCTCATAATACATTTTGAAAGATGCATTGCTTGAAGTTAACACGCACACAAACGTCAAATTCACGTTTGTTGTTCACACACACACACGCACGCACACAATAAAAAAACAAGGCCGTATTTCTTTCATTTTCACTCCCCCGCTACAGTCCTCCCCCCACGCCCCACCCCACCCCAAGTTATTGCATGTGGCAATTCGCCATGACAGATCGCCAGTCGCGCCTAATAGTTCTTTAATGACTTCATTAAATTGTGTTGTGCGGCTTATGATTGTGCTGCCAATTTGTCAGCGCGGGTAATGTCTGGGCGCTAGGGATGCCCCACTTTTATTTGTGAATTAATTGGACATTGACTGTGTTGCTGCCCCCCCCACCCCTCCCCTCATGGCAGACAGGACACAGATTCCCAATCAGCTCCACAAACAGGGCTGGCCAGAATATGTTCAGCAGCTAACTACAGTTTTATGCAGGGCGTTCCTTCACTAACTAAGCCATAATTAGCTCTTTGAAGAAAATGGAAGTGGGAAGCATTTTACTGTCGTGCTTGTTCCCACTGTTTATAAAACTGTCCCATTATACTGCATAATATGGACTTTTTGATGCATCTTGTGACACTTGCGGTTACCTACTGCATACTACACTAGCCTACCACATGAGTACCAATAAAACTCTGGCAAATAATGTATTACCATGCTCTATGCTCAGCAGGTCCTTCTTCATTTCTTGTTTTGGTGAGCAGTGCTTAGCAATAACATAGTACAGCATCAGACATCCAGCCCCCTCCCTCCTCCTTCCCTTCATGTTCTCCCAGGCAGGGAGGCCTGTCTGTGGGCTGATGGATGAGCACCAGCACCGAGTGGTGCATCCCTCCCTGGCCCCGGGCCATGCCCCTCTGTCACAGACACTGATCTCCCATCAGCCTGAACGCTCTCACCCTTAATGGTCAAGGTTAGGATTAAGACAAGGAAAATCTGATCTTGGGTCAGTGGCGAGGGGAAATTCAGGTACCTCGAGGGGAGATAGAGATGTGAGGACTGATAGAGATGAGTTTAGGAAAGTGGGATGATTTAAAGCACAAGAAATGCAATTTTGGAAAGGGGAGATGGTGTGCATTGGCGAAAATGAAATGGGAGGAGGAAGGAAAAAGAGAATGTGTTAGAGAGAAAGAGAGAGAGCGAGAGAGATGCAAGAGTAAGACAGAGAAAGCTGGAAGGTTTTTTCCTGTATGGGCTCAGCAGCCGAGCCCTTTTAAAACCATTAGTGGCAGGATATTTGTCATATTATGTTATTAGATTAGCCGGGACCCCTAATGAAAGCTGTGGCAATTTGTCAGCCTTATGGATGGCTCCATCCACCACCACTATTTATCAACTAGCACCCCATCTCACCCATCCCGCCCCCAACCTCAACACACACGCATACACAACCCAGTCATAGCTAAACTGCACCCCCAGTCTGGATGGGCTGGGAGAAATGGATCGAGCCAGTAATGGGATTCCAATGCTAAACACCCCGCCTAGTGTTTTTTGTCATTTGGGGTGAACACACTATTCTCAGCCAGATCGCCCAGAGGGAAACCACATTGGATTATTTCAAGGTTTTTTTCCTGCCCCCCTCCACCCATTTCCATAGTGCTTCTTCGATGGAGCTGTCTCACTACATTTATCTTATAGCATCGGATAAGAGAAGTGATGCTGTGGTTGCTGCTGCCGTGAGCTGCAGACAGAGCATCCTTTCCTGCTGATGACTTTGCCTTTGATCTTGATCTCAGTTTGCCTTGTGGTAGCGCCTATGTAGGCTGTATGATTATGAGCTCATTGTAATACCTTTTCAAGCACTCTGCACAGATTGAATTGGTTAATGATTGACTATATATCAGTAATTTTTATGAAAATTAAATAACCTTGTCACTTGCGTAAATGTTAGACTGTGTAGCTGACATGCAGTATGAACTGCTGTTTGAATTAATGAAAGTTTAGACATTAAGCTTGTCAAGAGCTGAAGCCAAAATGTCTGTCACACATACTAATCCTTTCTGCCTCTCTCTTTTGCTCCCTGTAGCGGTTAGGAACGACCGGAACAAGAAGAAAAAGGATGAGAAGAAGCAGGAGTGCACAGAGAGCTACGTGCTGAGTCCCGACACAGAGCAGATGATCGACAGGGTTCGCAAGGCACACCAGGAAACTTTCCCCTCTCTCTGCCAGCTGGGCAAATACACTACGGTCAGTAGCATGACACTGACAATCTGTGTGATTCTGTATTTGTTTACCTTTGTTAGCTGTAGCTTATGTTCAACTGCACTTAATAATCAAAAGTATCTGGATATATTTAAAAATGTCCCCACTTCTTCCCCTCCTTTTAGACTAACAGCTCAGAACGACGTGTATCCTTGGATGTAGACCTGTGGGACAAGTTCAGCGAACTCTCCACCAAGTGCATCATAAAGACAGTGGAGTTTGCTAAGCAGCTGCCGGGCTTTACAACGCTTACCATCGCCGACCAGATCACTCTGCTCAAAGCAGCCTGTCTGGACATCCTGGTAAGAACAATGGCCCCAGCATTTCATTCCCAAAATGTCACATTTTTCCACAGATTGTTAAAAGAAGCGGTTCAAATTTCTAACCAAATCAACAACCCGTTTTTTTGTCTCTGCTGTTCCCAGATACTCCGGATCTGTACACGCTACACACCAGAGCAAGACACCATGACGTTCTCAGATGGACTCACGCTAAACCGAACCCAGATGCACAATGCTGGCTTCGGTCCCCTCACTGACCTGGTTTTTGCCTTTGCCAACCAGCTCCTCCCTCTGGAGATGGATGATGCAGAGACAGGGCTGCTCAGCGCCATCTGTTTGCTGTGTGGAGGTATGACCAGTCTGAACACACGATGAACGTTCTCTTTGCCAACTGACAGTTTGAAAAAGCCCAAAACCATGCAGTCACATAGTCGTGTGTAGCTTTAATAAACTGTTAAGAGAGTGTCACCCCCGTTTATGGAGGAAATAGCACTAGGGCGGCTATGCTGAGCTCTGTCATTGAGCACCACCTAGTGGCTGACTGTGATTATGACAGTAGGGTTATTGACACTTTATCTGTATTTTGTGTGTTAACCCACAGATCGTCAGGACTTGGAACAGGCCGAGAAGGTAGACATTCTGCAGGAGCCCCTCCTGGAGGCGTTGAAGATTTACGTAAGGAGGAGGAGACCCCACAAACCGCACATGTTCCCCAAGATGCTGATGAAGATTACTGATCTGAGAAGCATCAGTGCTAAAGGTCTGTGGTCAACACTAGTCTTACACTTCTCAGATGAATTTAATATGTATTTTTTAGAAACTTTGGTAGTTAATATTTTCTCTCTCCAACCCTCCCTGCAGGAGCTGAGCGTGTCATCACCCTGAAGATGGAGATCCCCGGCTCCATGCCCCCTCTCATCCAGGAGATGCTGGAGAACTCGGAAGGCCTGGAAAGCGGGGCCGCAGGCAGCCGGCCCAGTGGTGCCCCCCCAGGCAGCTGCAGCCCCAGTCTGTCCCCTAGCTCTGCCCAAAGCAGTCCAGCCACACAATCGCCGTAGTAGCGGCCCACCTTTTTATTTTTCCTCACGATGCTCTCTGTCTCCACCCTCGACGTTCTAAAGAGGAGGGGCGAAGGAGGGGGGCCTTGACCCTGACTGCTGAACACAGGAGACCAGCAGAGCCAACCCTCCTCCTCTCCTAAACACAAATCCTGATCTGCTTTCCCTCACTCTGGAGCACTGTCCTGATGTGAGGGGAGGCAAGGCCGGGGCGGGCCGGGGCAACAGGATGCCTCCGAGAGACCACACCGTAAACACTGCTGATGACTCATCCTCCTTCTCCCTCCACTCTCCTCTCCACTGCTGCTCCTCCTCTCTCCACCGTTCTCCAAAAGACTCAAGGAAACAAATCTGGATGCAGTGGAGACCAGTTTCGAATGGAACCGAGAGTGGGCGGGGCACCATGGGACAAATATATGAACAAGGACAATGCATACAGACTGACTTGACGAACACCAGACACTTTTTTGTTGTACTCTGAGGCAGACTGCAAGCTTGGGACTTGTCAAAAGACCCCCCTCCTCAAAGACTCTGGGTCTTTTTTCTTTTTCCAACTTCAAAAAACAGATTTCGTACAAAAGATATATAAATATATATAGAAAAGTTTAGGAACTATTGTGATTGACATGTCCAGAACAGAATGGCAGGTTGAAATGCGGACGTGTTTTCTGAGATTAGAAATTGTTGTACTCCTTCACTGTTTGAATCTTTTCATACCCATAGAGAGTATTGAGAGAAATGTTTCAGTTTTATCACATTTGTACATTATTCTAATTAACAACAAGGAAAATATGTTGAAATTTCTCTCCAGTCTACACATACAAACACACACAAACAAAGACATACACACACATAAATGTGCACAGAAAACAAGTCGTAATGAATATCACCTACTATTCCAGGTTGGATTTGTTTTCCTTTTTTTCTTTTTTTTTTTTTCTTCCACGAGAATGGAAAAAAATGATTGTATGAACTTGGTTGTATGATATGGTCACAGGTCCTTTCAAGAAATCAAATTAATGAAGATTCATTATTAAGGTGTATTTTAAGTAGCCTTTGAGTTTGTGTATATAAGCTGTATTCATTTCTTTAAAACTATGAAGAGTTTTAGGCTTCACCTGACTTTTTTTTTTTTAAGAATACCTTTTATGTGTTTTGTTTATAGGTTTGTGATGCAAGAAAAGACATTTTGAGCACATTTTACTGAAGGAAGTTCTTTCATGTTTTGTGTCCTACTAAATACTGGACAGACCCTTAACCAATCACTGGCTGTTCAGAATGTGGCTTTCACAAACAATTTCAATCTCCTCCCTCCCCTTCACTCTTAAAACATGTTTTTTACATACAGTAGATAACAAAGTAGCACTCCAGTCGGGGCATAGCTTTTTTGGCCATGTAGCAGAAAGAAAATGGTGTTTTCTGAAAACGGTGAGCTTGGTGCCACTTGTAGCCTGCCAGGTATAAGTGCGCTACA